TGGCCCAATTTCCTCTAAAAATTGCACATTTTAGGGAGTTTTGATCAATTCCGACGAAATTAGAATTAAAAACACAAATTAATTTTTTTGCGCGCTTCGCGCTCATTTTTAAGGTTTTTTTTTTTTTTTTTTTTTTTTAATTCAAACTTTTTTTTTTTTTTTTTAAGGGTTAGCCTACTAAGTTATTTGAACACATAGGTTTAATAGTCCCAAACTCAAGAAAGAAAATTTAAGATGGATCGTTTTACCTAAAAGAAGGGACTCAATGTGTAATGATGGTGAAAGAATATGTTTGTAATAAATAAAGCCATCGGTAATGAAAATGCTTATATTCAAATTCGAAAAAACGTGTGTGGCCATATATAACATAAGCCTTAAACCCCGCAAACAATTTGCGTGCATTTTGTAGGGTGAGAACGTATGCTTGTTCTCCTTTACCTTTTAAGTTAATTGAACACATAATAGTCCCAACTCAAATAGAAAGAACATTTAAGATTGTTTTACCTAAAAAGAAGGGCCTCAATGTGTATTGATGGTGAAAGAATATGTTTGTAATAAATAAAACCATGAATGAAAATACTTATATTTAGTTTAAAACACATGTGTGTGGCCTATATTATAAATAAGATAAGCACTATGTCGTATTGTTTTCTATATGAGGGAGGGGTGGGGTGGGCATGATAAATTACTAACCGGGAAAATTATTACCTTTCCCCCCTCTAACCCAAGACCCCTGTTACGCGCCTGCTGAGATTGGCATCCTTGTGGAGACTATCGTGCACTCAATAACTCTACAGTGCCAGACCGCTATGCAATACCATACATGCAAGATTTCATATCGACTTTACATAGCGCCACAATCTTCTCAAAAAATGATTTCTTGGAGCATATCATCAGATTCCTGCGGAACCTGCTGATATCCATAAAACAGCTAACTACGCCTTTCGGACTTTTCGAGTTTGTTCGCATACCATTCGGTCTACGGAACGCGGCACAAACTTTTCAGAGGTTCATTGACCAAGAAACTCGTGGACTTGATTTTTGCTATGCTTACATGGACGACCTTCTCGTCGCAAGCACAAATGCTGAGGAGCATGAAAAGGGTGTCCCGAAAGCTCAGACCTACGAAAGCTAAGACCTAAGACCTAAGATTACGAGATATCAGACCCAAAAAATTACGGTAAGTCCCTAACTAAGTATGCCAGGATTTTTAGACAATACCTTCATTTTCGAAAGCTAACATATATAGAACTGATTAATCAGGCCCGTGGGGGGGGGGGGGGTTCTGCGCATGAGGTCCACAGTCGAAGCCCCGGTGGGCCCGGCGAAACCCCCAAATCAAGAGGATTTTTGTGCTTTGTGTGTCTAAATAATGCTATAAAAGGAGACATGTTTGAAAATGTCTGTGTCAGGGTGGGTCTGCAGTGCATTAGTTAGGTTTGAGGACTTATTTGGGAATTTAACGAGGGGGATTTTCTAGTAAAGGGGGTTCTTTGGTCGTACCACATTCTGTTACAACTTTTAGCTTAGTTCCTGCCTTCTTTGTGTGGTGTTTCTGATTCTGCAGGAGCGTAGGGTGTTTTCAGCCTGGGGTGCGAAAATTTAGAATGAAGAAATATATCTCTATTTCAATAAAAAGTTAATGGTCATTTTTAGTACTTCAACCCACTTGAAATAATTTGCCACCAGCCTACGCTGACAATCTGTCAATGTTACAGTCGTCATCTTTTTCCAACCTTCAACGTTTTGTTCAACGTTCTTTATGTCTCTTTTTTCCTTAACTTCTACATAGATTTGTTTTTGTCATAATCTCCTTTTGGCCTTACAGTACACTGAACTCATATTTTCCTTTTATGGTTTTTTTTTATGTCCTCCATGTATACTTTTCATATTTTGATAATAATATTCTTTATGTTATGCATTTTAGGTCAAATATGGTATTGTATGGGCGATTTGGGTTCAGCATAGTTTTCACAATGATTTTATTGTCCTATCTCATTGATAACCTGTTTTTCCCAGCATGTTTTATCGATGTTATCTGAGAGTCATGACCTCTGACCAACCTTTTTTGTTCTTTAAGAGTTTATTTTTGTGTTTTACAAAGAAAATAAATGAAAAGAAGAAAAATCACCTAAGGACATGTTTGTTTGTTTCTAAAAAAACATGAGCTACTGTAAACTGGATAAATTCTTGAAACTGTTGCTTTTTATTCTGTGTTTGGATTTTATTTTTTGGGAGTGAATACACTTTTTTGAAATATTTTATACCGTCTAAGAATCTAGAAACCCTCAAAATTGAAATAATAACATTGAATTGCTCATTAAAAAATGTATAAACAAGTTATTAATTTCAAAATCTATAAACCATTTGCAATAAAAATTGTTTACCTGCCAATTTGCCTACACAGAGAATATAGACATGATATTACGAAAACCCACCTTTTGCCGCAATTTCTGATTTCACACAAGCACCCAAAATGTTTGAGAATCAGAACATTTTAAAAGGATTTTTGCATTGAAGATATACTGAAGAAAATGTCTGCAAAATATCGATCACTAAATCTAACTGATAGTATATTAAAAATTATTTTTAAAAATGTTGTCAAAAACTGTTGTATGCCATATATAGCCATGATGTGCCTATATATGGTCATGATGTGCCTATATATAGTCATGGTATGCCCATATATAGTCATGATGTGCCCATATATGGTAATGATGTGATACCATCATGACCATATTTAGGCATGTCACATGGTTTTCTTTTCAAATAAACAACTGAATTATTGAATATCATCAGTTTTACTTATAATTTTTTTTATTTATTTATTATTTTCTTTTATTATTATACATTTAATTTTCTAACAACAGTAGTTAAGTTAGTTATTTGAACCTGTTTACAGGCTTGTCTCCTAGGTTTCAGCATTAGTTTGTTTTTTTTTAAATAAATGTTATGTAAAATTAAGTTTTGTAATGTTAGCTCATTCATATGAAATATGAATAAACTTTGTTGCAGTCACTTATAAAATAGATGATAGATGTCTTTAAAATAGTCAAAAGCATTACAATAAGAAGGCAGTAAGTCCAATTAGGTGAACAAAGTAAGTTTAGTGACAAATGGCATACAGTATAGGGTGGGATATACCCGAGGAACTAAGGTAAATTATTGGACTTAATACTTTAATGTACAACTGCGAAGCTTACTAAATTATTTATCTTCTTTGTGACAGGTAACTCTGAGTTATGGTGACAAGGCAAAACATAAAAACATTATCAAACTGTTAGATGGTTATTTCAACGATGTTGAGGACCCAACACGGTAAGAGCTGTGTTTGTACTGAGTTATGAAACTTTAAAAGAAATTTAATTTTAAATCAAATCAAAACTAAAAACTATTTAGGACTTGCATACATTGAACAACCATTTTTAAAAATTATATCAACACTATCGTTTAGCAAAATTTTCATTCAACCCAAATTAAAAAAATGGTCTCCCCGATCTTAATTAGTCCAAAATATAGGTATAATAACCTTACAGTGATAAAAATGTTATTTTGTAGAACCAGAAGTACGTACTTATAACCATGTTTGAAAGTTCTTTCAACATTGTGTGAACGTTATTTTGTGACATACCTAACCTAACGTTCGCGAACATTATAAGAACGTTTTGTGTTTGCTGGGTTGTTGCCAAAGTCCAAGCCATTATCTAAAGCCACGTCCTAGCTGTCAAATTTTATTTGACAAAAAACTGTTGTATGGTCATATATAGTCATGATGTGCCTATATATGGTCATGATGTGATGTTATCAGGACCATATTTAGGGTGTGCTCAGTAGTATTGAATTCCAGTTAATATGAAAATAATGCACAAAATTGAGGAACCAATTATGTATAAATAAAACAATTTTTTGTTCTGGTAATTTACTTTTCTTAGGAAATTGTTTATGTATAAAGTAAACTTAGTTTGCTATTTACTTCCATTAATTTAATATGATTTTTTTCACATTTGAACATGCCCCATGAGCATCCCCTCTGGGTGCACCACTGCTAAATATATTTTTTTTCCCTCAAGAATGAGTATATGTTTGAAAAGGACAATTTTAAAGCTTTAAATAATATGATAACTCTATTATTTATTTTAGTTCAGTGTTTACGATTTTACCAGTTTAAATACATAAGGCCACAACTTTGAATTAAGCATATAGAAAAAGAATGAAATTCCAATCTATTTTCAATCACTACGCCTGGGTGACGCAGCAATTTTTTTTTTTTGGCCTTATCTTTTTAATTATCAGTGTCAGTGTATTTTCGTTGGCTCATATTTCAACCTTTTGTGACTGTTTACAATGAGTTGTAATTGCTGTCATGCAACAAGAGGCATCATATAGACATAATGTGCATTAATAAGAGATAGTGTATAACAAAAGAACACAAGACGGTCGTTTTTAATATTGTATGTTATCTCTACTTGGCTTTTTTACATAATTGATTTTTTCTGATGTGAAGTAAAAAAGATTCAAGATACAGTAGTAGAGATTTGTTATCAGTTAATGCAAATATGTCTTTATAAGGCTTGTTTTCTGATACTTATCAAAGTGTAGCAACAATTCACACTTCAATTGACAATGCCAGGCTTTTCATTCTCTTGCCTATTGGTATGCAACTCTCATAATGCAAATATATATATTTAACCTTTAATCCTCTGTATGTTAATTTACTAACGTGTTAATCTGTAATTTATTTTAGATGTAAGCGATTGTGCTTGTATCAAGTTTCCACAAGTATTAACAGCAAATTTTTAATCCCTGTTAAGAAGTTGCATTACAATATATTAAAAAGATTTAAACCAGAAATGAACTATGTTTTATTTTTTTTTTAGGCTGCTCTCACTACATTGTATGATTTTTCCCGATGAGGATGTATGCAAGCGGAAACGGCCATCATGAATATTTTTGCAATGACCAAAATGCATGAACTGTCCATGCAAATCTACTGATTGACAGTATGGTATGAGATGACCAGATGATGTAGTAACATGTTGCCAGGTGCAGTACTAAGGAGCCATGGTGTCTAAGCAGTGGGCTAGGTGTAGCTGACATGCAATGCAATGACCAAAATGCATGAACTGTCTATGCAAATTTACTGATTTACAATGTGGTACGAGATAACCAGTTGTGTATTAACATGTCGCCAGGTGCAGTGCTAAGGAGCCCGGTGTCTTAGCAGTGGGCTAGGTGTAGCTGACATGCCAGTGAGGTGATTTTCAGTACTTTCGAAGTTGCTTCTAATGGACCTTTCCACTTTGCCATGCCCCTTGGATATTATTTGCTAAGATACAACAGTGTTAAAACATGCAAACACTTGCATTTGTAGGACACAGACATGTTGTGATTGGTCAGTTGTTTAGTTTGATTGACACTTCAGAAAGGTCAATGCTTCCCACCTTGAAGAGAAAAAAATAGCCCAGAAGAAAATTTACCAGTCAATGTTGGTGTTGTTCTGCTGCTGTTAGTGATAGTTAGTGATACAAATACAGTATTATTGCAATTTTTGAAACTATGCAACCAACTGTACCAAACAACTTAAAGAATTTATACTGTAATGCATATAAAGTTAGTTCATGCTTCCGATATATAAATATAGTCAGTAATGTATTTAATACTGATGTTGCCTCTCTCGTGCCTCTCTATTTTCTGATAAAATAGCATTTTGAGAAAAAAAAGTATTTTTTAAATTGAGATTAGAACAGCCGACCCTCTGATTATCAGTCAGTTCCTCTACCACCTAGGGTTTAGTGCTATGCTTTTGTATTTTTTAATTACAACATGGTTATTTTTTATAAGGTATTACATAATATGCATTTTATGTTCAATCGTATGGTATTGCAGTTCATACAGGAGAAATTTAGGGCCTATTTTAAAATCTTACTATTTAAAAATGATTATTTAATTGTACTTCTATATAACCATCTTTGGGTGTAATATAACATCATCGCGCGCTGTGAGTACTGTTCCATTAGGCCATGTGTCTCTGTGACGGCAAGATGTGTAATTCGTAACGCTTGTTGCTAGGTGGAGTCCATTGTGGCTTTAATTATAGTGTGACATATGCATAATCTAGAGAGTGGTGCACTTGGGGCTATGCCTTTAGAGATACACCTTTTCTTAAACCATTAAATTAACAATAGCTTGGCGACATAATGCTGCCGTTAATTTATGCAAACATGTGTGGTGCGAATTGCAGGAGAACGGGGCAGTGATACAAGTTTTCTCAATTTGATTTTCATGTAAATTGTTGAGATTATTTTAGGATAGTTCATGGGTGAATTTTCTTATTTTCTTTTTTAGAAACTTTGAGATGATTTTTAATTGTGTAAGGCGCTTATAAAAGTCAATTTCCATTTCCATATATGGGCACATCACATACATTTGTTACATAAATTTGATAGTGTGGACTTAGCAATTGGAGTTGAAGTTTGAAAATATCAAATGTACACTTAAACTGAAACATGACATTGAAATAGAAAGAAAAGATAAACGATGTACTCAACAAGAAGTAAATTGGGTATAAAGGTCGAAAGAAAACATTTTTTACTAGAAATTGGCCTCAATTTATATCAGAAATTAGGAAAGTGGTTTATGTTGTTCTGAACTGTCTTTTCTTAACCCCTTTTAATTATTATTTTCCTTTAAACATCCTTTAACCTCTCATTTTCCCCATACTGTTCTACATTTAAACTTCCTATCTTATAACTTCAGGGTCACTAGTTGGCAGAATCCGCTTCAAGAAGATGTGATTTATTGGGCTTTTTTTAAATATTTTTATCACATTTAATGTAGACGAGATGCAGCTTGGTAGGTAAGATACTTGATTTCCAATTCCAGGGTCATGGGTTCAAATCCTGTGACTTCAGGGAGAAAATAGACTAGTCTTCCTTTATTCTGAATTTCTGGAAATTGTGTTAGTTGACATAGACTTTGACTTGTTTTCAGGAATGCAGGAGACTGCTAATTTCTTTGGGACTCCTGTGACTTTGAATCCTAGTAATGTTTACCCCTTCACCCTTCACTATTTAATCCAATTTTCTTCACCCTTTCTTCTTTAAGTCTTTCAACTTAACCCATTCCCTTTCATCCTGCTTTTTCTATTTTCACCAAAAATATCATTAAAATTGTTATTTCGGTTTGTTCAATAGACATGAATAAATTTCCTTGATGACAACTTATGTAATTAAGAAGTGGCATATTATTATTATTGTTATTTCAAATTACTTGTTATAAATATACATTTGTTAAGTAAGAAAAAGAAATATATAAACAAGATGACTATAATACTGTACCACCAGATAATTTATGGTGCAGTTATTTTCAAGCATTTATTTTAACTACATTTCCTTGGTTGTTTCATAACCAGGATTCATCTGAGAGCTAGGACGGATTGTTAAAATGGATCTGTAGTTGTTCATATACTATGCTGAAAATTGTATAGGAGGTGCGGGAGCAAAACCGTTTTTTTTTTTTTTCTCCTGTTACCAAAATTAACATATTTACCGTAAATCCCAATGCTTGCAGTTAAGCCTTCCTTACTATTTGTTATTCAAAGGGCATTCATCAGACTGAATAAAAATAACCCATAATCAATATTTTGTAATGAGTTTAGGCCTAGAATGGTGATATATTACATCAGACACCAAATTTAGACAACATCAGACACCAAATTTAGACAACTTTCATGTGCAAAATGTAAAAAAAATAGGGATAACTTTTCTTAACGAAAAAAAAAGACACTTTTTTAAAAAAGGCGCCCCTATTTTTTAGTAAGCTAGGGGCGGGTGCTGGAGGGAAAACAAATTTTATATTGTTTAAGCCTCATCAGTTAGCTGGCAATGTTTATGGAAGGGGTCACAATTTAGAAGAAGTCACTTCTGGAATGTCTGCTTTTCTAAACTTTATTTAGTTATATTTTGCTGTGCATCGTGATACCCATCAGCACTGAATTCTGTGAGACAATTGATCATACAGTAGAAATATGCAAATATTGTGAATTTGGAGGAGATAGGTTATTCTCCTAGATATTCTCGCCTGCTTTTACAACTGAAATATTAATCTGTGTACTCGCCATCATAATCCACCATTCAACCCTGCTCATAAATTGCTGGAAATTTATTTATATGTTTATACTG